CCTGCAGGGGATCCCGGGACGCCGCTCGGCACTCTGGGCCTGCAGGGGACCCCGGGACGCCGCCCGGCACTCTGGGCTGCGGAGAGCACTGGGCATGGGGCAGGAGGCACTGGTACCGGGGGAAACACTGGTGATGGGTGTGGCACTGGGATCCCTAAGCTGGGCAGAGGAAGGGCGCTGGGAAGATAAGGGGACACTAGGGGTAGAAGGGGCTGAAGCGTGGGCACATGCTGGGACTCGGGGAGGAAAGGTGAGACACTGGGGCAGTGCATGGAAAGGAGATCCTGACAGGCTCAGGGTTCCAGGAACAATTGTGGGTGGCAGGGGAGAACCCTCTTCTGGGGGATGGACAGTTGTCCCTTGGGCTGCCTGCCCTGGGGTGTCCCACTTGGATACACAGAGACTGGAAGGTCTTCCTGCGACCCCTGTCCCCCGCTGCTGCTGGCACCCTGTCTGTATCCTGGACCACAGACTCCGGGCTCAGCCTCACAGCACACACCCAGTGGCTGCAAGGGGGTATCTCAAGGGGCCAGGCACTTCCCAGGCATCACCTGAGCCGCAGGGATGGCAAAGTACCTTTTTCCCAACCTTGCCACCCAACCCACTGTCTGCTGGCACATCCCTTCCTGAAACTTCTTGCCCTCCCATGGAATGTGGGGTCACCCCAGTTGCTTCTGCCCGTTTCCCATAGCCAGTGCTCACTCCACAGTGGAAGAGCTCACTCACCCTGCAGCAGGTACTCTTCAAAGAGCATGGCTGTGTCCCCCACCAGCTCCAGTGGCCCTCCTGCAGGTGTCCCCCGGCCTCTGCCTCGCTTACACCACCCTGTACTTTGCACAGGAAGGCTGCACTCTGCTCTACACTGCTCTTATCTCCCAGCTGTGCTGAAAGCAGCAGCTCCAGTGGCACAACACGATTTCCCTGTAGGCCCAGAGCCGCTGTGGGCTCCCTGGGCCAGGGGTTGGCTCCGCTGTTGGTACAAGGTCTGACCCCTCATTTGGAATTTAATGACCTCCCATGCTGGCCCTGGCTGAGCACATGCCCTCACAGCATCTCTGGGAAAAGGGAACACAAAATGGGAGTGTAAAGGGGTGCAGAACAGGTATAAAGCACAACAGGTTGTATTTGACGCCACATTTTATTGTGCATGCTCACTCAAGACTCTGGCTTTGAGGCTTGTCCAAGCTGTGTGGAGGATTTTGTGTGCTTCACTCAGCCAGAGAGAAGAAGCACCCAGGAAAAGCTGCCTGGATGGATGCAGCCCCTTTGGAGACATCTCAGTGGTGGATGAGCAGGGAGCAAAGCCAAGCATAGAAATACCTGTAGTGCCTGGGGCTGGGAGCAGCTGTGCTCAAGCACTGGCCAAGGTAAGCCCAGCTGTATCTTCTCCAGTGGTGCAGAAGTGATAGTTATTAAACCAAATCCCCCTATGGCTGCTGCTTGTGTCATGGGCACTGGGACTGGGGGGATGAGGTGCCCTGGCCACAGTCCTCTGCAGACACACTAATGCCACTCCACGCTTTCCTCTGCCTGTGCCCCAGGCAGCCCCACTGCCCTCTCCAGCCCTGCTATATCCCAGCCAGGAGTTTATCTCCTGCGCCCGAGGCGGGCCATCAGCTCAGCATTGGCAGCTGCCTTGGCCTGCAGTTCCTTCTCTCTGGCCAGGTCGAGCAGGATTTTCAGTAAGTGAGTGTGGACATCGAGTGACAGGGACACCTTCCTCCCCTTTTTCCTGGGAGCAGCTCTTTTGGTGGCTGGGCTCATCAGCCAGGGCAGTGCTTGTCTTTCTGATCCCACTTGCAGTGGCAGGGCAGCTTTGTCCAGATGAGACCCTGCCCCAGAGCCATCGTCACCCCTTCTCATTTTGGAGAGACCTGGCAGCATCTTGTTATCGCTGGCGGTTTCCTGTCTCATCAGCTTCCCTCCATCCACAGCTTGGGGGGCTGGCGGGAGCCGCTCATGTCTTGGTCCCTTCTGGGCCCTCGTTGGTGCCCCAAGGACCACCAGGAAGGTGAGCAGCATCCTGCCTCGCAGCGTGGCCGGGAGTGCCTGTGGGGAGCACGTGGCTGGTGCTGAGCATCACCCCCATCATCCTGTCCTGGCCCCACAGCCCCCCAGGCAGGACACGTCCCCACCTGGGTGTCACCCACAGATACCCTCCACTCCCTGCAGCAGCTGGTGGGGCTTCACCCTCCTTTCAGGAACCCTTCATTATTACAATCTGATTTTAACCCTCTTGAACAGGGTGGGGAGTTTTGGGGAGGCTGTAGGGGACATGGGAAGCAAATCACCTGTCCTTTCACACAGCCCCCCAGCTAGATGCTAGCTGTGCCCTCAACTTCACACCCTTCAGCCCTTTGTCACCCAGGGAAGGAGACAATCCTGCTCAGGTGGGTGACTGCCAGGGTACTGTGCCTGCTCCCCAATCTATTCCTGCCCTTTGGCCAGGGAAATCCCTGGGGTTTCATGGCTGGGCGAGCTGTGGGGCTTTCTTCCTCCCACACCTTCCCTGGAAGATGCCATTCTCCACTGTGTTGCTGGGCTCTTTGGGGCAAAAGCCACCCACCAAGGAGGGACACGAGCCACTCAGACTAAAATACGCAGCATATTGTGTGGGGTGACAAGGGCAGGAGACTGGCCACATGTCTTGAGTTGTATCAAGCCACAGCAACTTTCTCCACCCCATCCCTCACCCTGGTCACAGGGAGGGCCCCAGGGATTGCAGGCTGTTGTGCTACGGGGTGGGGGTCAGAGCAGGTGCAGGGATGCTGCACAAATCCTGCTATATAGCTTCCCCAAATCAGTCACCCAGCAGGGTATCTGGGTGAAACCCTTTGGAAAGTACCAAAGCAGGCAGCCAGAAGTGGTTAACTTGCTGCGAAGTGAAGAATGAAAAGCATCTAACACCCTGCAACCTATTTCTCAGCTAAAAGCCCCTGAAAAGCACCACTGAGGGCACAGCCTCACCATTTGCAGCAGGTCCTCGTCTCCTTGATGTTCAGGCAGTGCTCCCAGGGTGCAGAGACCACAAGCTGGGGATTTGCTCTGCTCCCTGCCAAGCCCTGGCTCTTATCCTGTCCCAGCTCCACCTCTGACCCGCAGAGGGGGTGACGGTGATGGGGGGAAGGGGAGGGGGGCAAGTGTGGAAATGTTTTTAATACATTTTGTCTAATAGCAGATGAAGTCATTCCAGGATGTGGGTGGGTGTGTGCCCCCTTGCAGCTCCACCAGCTGCATTTAGAGGGAACCTAGGACAGCTCAGTTGTAATTGTTTCATGTTTGATTGGTAAGGTGTTTTTTCTCAATCTAATTAGGCCTCCCTGCTCCTGTCAGGCTTGGTAATCACTCAAGGAAGGGAGAGAACATGCATATTGCTGCCCACCAGGGATCATGGGCAGCCCTCTGGGCATTGTGCCTCACAAGGCCCCGGACAGCTCCTGGTACCAGTCTGGCACTGTGCCCTGACAGACTCCCTGGCCACATGCAGGACAGATCTAGAGGCATGTCACCTCCCTGCTGTGCCAAACCCAAGCACTGCTTTGGCCACTGGTTTGGAGGACACCAGTGGCTTGAAGCTCACCTTAATGCATTTCAACTGAGACACCACTGGTTTGCAGGCACCTTTGTCCAGTCTGGCTCAGCCCCTCTGCCAGCTGCCCAAGGTGGTTAGCACCCTGTAGGCATTGCTGTGGGGTGAGCCCCATATACAAGGGTTTTGCATATACAAAGGGACTGTGGGAGTATCCCAAGTCTCTTAGGCTGGGTGGTCACTCAGTTGTGGGTGCTCAGCCCCATGAGCTGGCCAGGGCCAGGGTGCCCAGGGTTCAGACCACTGGGGATCTGCCCACCCCCATGGTCTGAACCGATGGGTGACCCATCCTATGCCGCCTTCCCCAGGAGAGCAGGGAACAGAAATAATGCCAGCTCTGTTCCTCCTCCCAGGCACATCCAGGAACTCACACCCAGTAGCTAAAATTAGCTGGCAGCACTGATTCACACAGTACATCATGCAGCACCACAGACTCACGTGCTGACGCGTCAGGGCCTGGACAGGGGGTCATGGCCTGGCTTGCATCAGCTGGGCACGTGTTGGGCACAGGGATGGAGCACTGGGCTCCCTGGAAGGGGTGAGGAACCCAGCCAGCACTGCCAGCAGTGGGCAGCTGGAAAGGACAGCCCAGCTGGGGTGGGCAGGAGGCATGCCTGAGCCAAGAGCTGTCCCCAAACTTCCCAGGCATCTCCAGCAACGTGCCAAGAAGTGTGACATCTCCCTGTGAGCACAGCTTTAATAGACATCCCCCCTGCATTGGTACACATATACATTTGCTGTATACAGAAATACACAGAGAACAGCAGTACGTGTGGGGGCCACAAAGCCCACCAGCAGCCCCTGGGGCTCTGGGGCAGTGAAGGACTTGTCCCTGCTCAGCCCTGGGGATGGGGGAAAGCACGGGCTGCAACCCTGGCAGCCGACATCACTTTCACAAAGCCTTTGAGAGTAAGCATGGGCGAGCAGGAACCTCTTCTAACATAGCACCATCCTCAGGGTTTCCCTGACAAGCCTGGGGGTGCAGGTGAGATTCCCCAGATTAAAGGCAGATGTACTGCTGGCAGGCGTGTGAGCTGCAGGGTAGCACGTGGGAAGAGCCTCCAGTCTCCCCACAGGTCATTGCCAAACCATTGCAGCCACAAAAGGGGAACTGGGCCCTAGTTGAGGTTAAGGTGAAATTTATTCAGATGGAGCTCATTGCAGGGTGGGGGTGAGGGATGTGCAGGGAGGCACTGCCTGGCACAAGGATGTGGGCAGCTCTCCCAGCAGACAGCGGGGAGCAGAGAGGGAGTCTGGGGGTCTGTGAGGGCAGCAAAGGGTACGAGGGCATTATGGGAGGGGAGGGAGCCCAACTGTGCCAAGTCTCAGCTCTTCTTCCAGAGGGAAGGAACAGAGCTAAGAAACATTCTTTTGGCAACAAATAATTTAAAAATCAAACTGAGAACAGCCCAGTAGGAAAGGGGGTTCAGAGCCTTGGTGGGAGGCAGTTTCCCATTTGATATAACTTTCACCTTAATGACAATAAACTGATATGAAATGGAAAACCCATGAGCAGCATAAAGACAGGTTAGAAATAGCACCAGGTTCCTGCTGGGGCTGGTGGCTACATGGCTGCTGCCACCGTGGGCAGCCCAGCCCCGGCCAGGGCGGCAGCAGGGCCCCACTTCCAGACAGCCCTGCCTGCCGAGACACTGTCTGCACCTACACCTTTGGCTGCCCTGCCACCTTGCCACCGGCACTGCCGCGGGAATCTGTGGAGAGAAGCAAGGCGCTGTCAGAGCTGAGGTGGGGGAGCAGCGCTGTCCCCCCAGCTCCGCATCACTGAGCCCACGGCACGAGGTGGAGATGCTGCTGGTGCCAGTAGCTGTGCCAAGCTCTGCCTACCTGTCCCTGGGCGCTGCCCACAGTGCAGCTCACACTCCTCCTTGCTGTCGAAGCGGTTGAGGTTGCCCTGGCAGCCGCTGTAGACGAAGGGCCGGCACTCGGTGACTCTTTGGTTGTAGTACCACCGCAGGGTGTAGCGCTGGCAGTCCCCCTCGTCCAGCGGCAGCCTGCAGGGCTCAGCTGTGGGGCAAACGCTGCTGGTGAGGGCAGGCAGGGGCTGGCAGCACACCTGGAGGCTGCCAGACCCACTTGGCAGAGGAGGGGAAAATCCAGAAGGGAAAGGCTGAGTATGGGAAGAGTTTGGCTGGACGAGATGTCCCTGTGCTCTTCCCAAGTGCTGGAATTAAGGGCAGGAGACACCGCTCTGGGCAAGCTGTCTCTCAGGACAGCTCCTAGGAAAGAGCTGGGAGGTGGGTGGCATGGGGACATGATGGCCACAGCACCCCTTGGAAGGGTTATAGGGTGAGTCTCCAAAGGCCGCTGCCACTGCGGCTTCCCTGATCTCCTTGGGCCTTTGGAATCCATCCTGTGGCTCATGACCAGAGCACAGGAAACACGCCAGGGCAGCAGGTCCCACCAGCCCAGCACACCACCCATGACTGCTGGTGACAGCTTTGGTGAGGGGGACAGAGCACAAGGTCTGTATGGTGTGGGCAGCACAGTGATAGAGAAGGTGCAACCCTCCCAAATACCAGCAAGAGGGCAGGAAATCCCAAATCCCCACAGACAGATGGCACAGGAACCCAGGGCCCAGCTGAATATGAGGACACCACCCCAGCAAAACCTGGGGCAGCTCCATAGTTTCCCCCAGTAGCTTAGCTGTCAGCGTCAGGTGAGTGCAGGGAAGCTCACCATCCACTGCAGGCTGCTCCAAGCTGTCCATCTCTGGGACCTCATCATAGTCCTCCTCCTCCTCCTCCTCTCCATCCATGCTGTCATACCCGAGGTCGTCACTGTCGAGCATGATCTGCCTGTCCTGCCCTGGGAGACAGCACCACACATGAGCAGTCCTCACTACACACACAGAGCACAGAAAAAGGGGGATAAGGACTAAAAGCACAGGGATGACACACCCTCATCCTCCTCAGTGTGTGACAACTTGAGCACAGGGACTATGTGAGCGCTGCCAGCAGGGAACGGCTGACTGGAGAAGGATCCTGTCAAGAGCACACAGGCATCAGGGAAGAGTCAAAGGAATCTGGGGTGCTTTCCCCTTATTTCCCAAGGAAATCCATCCCTTTCAGGTGTGGAGCAGTCCAGCACTTCTCCAACCCTGTTGCAGCTTGACAGGGTACGTGGACAGGGATGGTGGCCTGGAGATACCCCCTCCTCTCTCTTCACCACAGACAGGCAGGGGAGGCCCAGAGAGACAGCACCCACTTGGAGCCCAACAGGGTAGGGACAGGGGAGGGCACAGGGAGGCACACATGCCCACATTGCCAGGTGTCTTGGGTCTTCCAGACTCTCCATCACCTGTTTGGTCATGCTCTTTCTCCTGGCGGACGATTCTTCCTACTCCCTGGGCAGAGTGGAGGCTGCTCCTGGCCTGAGCCCCCCAGCCTCCTTGGAAAGAAAGCACCCACCTCATCCCAGCCCACCTCTTGTCTCTGTCCCTCCAATCCCACTCCTCCAGCCTACCCTT